ACTACAGGTCCCATCGGCTGCGGAGTGCTCGCCAAGCCGGCGGGTGTTGCTGAAAGTTGCAGTCTTAAGGTGTGTGTGTGTCGGGGGGGGGGGGGTTGATAACAGAGGGTCGAAGAGAGCAGCGCCCCTCCTTAAGGGAGGCCGGACTACAAATCCCATCGACCGCACGGGACTGGCCGAGCTGGTGGGTGGTGCTGAAGATTGCAGGGTCTAAAGCGCGGGGTGGGGGGGAACGGAGCCGGGAGGTGGCCTCGCCCCCAGGAACGCCGGACTACAGATCCCATGGGCCGTATACTACTTGCCAAGCTGGCTGGTGATGCTGAACGTTGTACGGTCTAAGGTGGTGTGTGTGTCTGTGTGTGTGTGTGGAGTGGAGTGGGAGCCGGGCAGGTGGCATCATTCCCTAGGGACGCCAGACTACATATCCCATCAGCCACCGAGTACCTGCCAAGCCGGTTAGTGGTGCTGCTGAACGTTGCAATCTTAAGATTTGGGGAAGGGGCTGATTACGGGAAAGAGGGGGGGCAATTGGAGCCACGGAGCACCAGTCCCCAGGGATGCCGCACTACAAATCCCATCAGCCACACAGGCTGAAGGTTGCAGTCTCAAGGTGGGGAGGGGGGCTGTCCCGTTCCTGCTGGGCCAGAGGAAGACAAGGATGGGTTGGGAGGGGGGAGGGACCAACATCGGTGGAAGAAGATGGGGGGGCATGAGTGCGGCGTTCCAGGTGATCGGATTTTGAGGACACTTTGTCAGCAGGGAAAGGGGGGGTCCCCCTGGGGGGGGTGATGAGAGGGATGAAAGTGGTTCCTTATTTTTTGCCAATTGGGGAGGGGGTTTCATGGAGGGGCAGCCAAGATTCTGGGGTCTGCACCCCTAAAACAATTTAAAAAAAAAACCAGATTCACAGTTGAATCCTCCTGGATCCCGAGCAAGCAGATCCTGAAGGAGCCGATGTGGATATTTTGGAAAGAGATGAAAACCTTCTCCATTAGTCCCTAAGCGTTCGTGCAACCCCCCCCAAAAAAATAACCCCCCACATTCCTCCCCATTTCCCCCCCAATCCTTACATTTCCAAAACCATCTCAACTTCCCTGCTTCATTTTTGCCATTTTAATTAAAGTTCGTTTGGGAGGGCGGATTTGGGGGGGCTGAACCCGAACGTTAATTGATTCGTTCCAAGATGGCAAAGAAAAAAAAAATGGGGTTTCTGCAGATGAGGGAGGGGGAAAGAATGATTTAAGACTTTGGGGTTCCCCTGAAAAAAAGGGGGGATGAGGGGGAAAAAAACCCCACGCATTTCCCTAAAGAGATGTGACTTGGGACAGCTAGTCGTAAAAAAAAACCTCTTTCTCCAGCCTGGCCAGGTGTGAAATCCAGGTGTGCTGGGTTTCAGCTCTCCCCTGCCCTGTGCAGGTTGTGTGTGTGTGTGTGTGTGTGTGTCAAAGTGTCCAAGTTTGTGTTCTGCTCAACTCCAGGGCCCCTCAGAGGAAAGAATTGCCCTTTGCAAAAGACCCCCCTGCCCCAAAGAATATTTATAAGGTAATATGATATTTATAAGCTCCTGCCTTTGTGCCTAGCTTGGGGGTTTGTGGGGGGAAGTTGCAAGTGGTGCACATGGGGTGAGAAGGAGAAGCCGTTGCATGCAGTGGGGGGGGGAAGAGCCGGTGATGGGCAGCTATAAACGGGATTAAGTGACAGGCGGCATCCTGCCGGGAGGACAGAATGGGGGGGGGAATCAGGCCTGGCGGACGGTGGGGGCTGGATGCCCACCCAGCCGAGAGGCCCAACTCCCTCGCGGCCCCCAAATCAGATCATGGTCAGGTCTGGCTCGCTTCCAAACCGCCATCCTCCCAAGTTTATCCTAATTGCTGCTGGCGCATCGATCTGGGCACCCGGCCAGGCGGCAGATCGGAACTGCTGTTGACAAACTTTTGACAGGGGTCACGGAGCGTAGTTGGGTCGGGGTGGGGGTGGGGGGGAGGCAGGACCCACGTCCCTCAGTGGGGCAGATGAAGGTCACTTACAGAACCCGCTGGCGAGATCCGATTGCCGTCCTGCAGGACGTTGAGACTGCGTACTGCAGATTCCGCCGTTCTGGTTTCTCTTAAAGATGGAACAAAAAAAATAAATGTGGTTTAATGTTGGGGGACGCGCGGCCCACTTTTAAATCTCGGGCAGCGATTGTGCTTCGTTGTCTTTTCGGAGGATTCATATAGGTTATGTATTATAGCGATAGGATATATATATATATATATAAAGGATTTGGGCGCGACGTCACTAAAAAGCGTTGAAAATAGCTGCCCACGTGAAGCCAGTGGGGTTCGTGGCCTGTTTTTCTCCCCAGCAATTAGAAGCTGGAGGGACGCGCCAGGCGCAAACCAGGATCTATTTTTAACTTGGTTATTGCTCAGAATAGTGACTCCCTAATAAAACGGTCAGAGTCGCCCTGGGCACTAAGCAGGGAGGAACAGGACCCAGAAGGAGCAGCCGGAGCCTTTTGGGGTGTGCAAAGGCGAATTCAGAAGTTCTGGGCAGCTGAATGTGTTCTGTCCTGGACCTCCCCTCTAAATTTGTTGGACTACAAGTCCCAGCATGCTGGGCAGCCCCAGAACAATGTTGCATACTATGGAGGGCGGCACACTGTACTTCAAAGAAAGCTGGCACGAAACACCGTTGTTGTGTTGGTGGAGAAAACCTCGCACAGGAAAATGGGAACATTGCACAGGTAGTCCTTGACTTACAACGGTTCGCTTAGCGACCGTTCGGAGTTACAACGGCACTGGAAAAAGCAACTTATGACCTTTTTTTTTTTTACACTTAAGACCGTTGTGGCATCCCCGGGGTCACGTGATCAAAATTCAGACGCTGGTCAACTGACACGCATTTATGACGCTTGCAGCAGCCCGGGGTCACGTGATCCCCTTTTGTCACCGTCCAACAAGCAAAGTTGGTTGGGGAAGCAGGAGACACTTAACAACGTTGTCACTCATTTAACAACTGCATGTCACAAATGGTGTGGGTCTAGCGCCCGCAGTATACTCACTAGCCCTGCCCCGTTCTTGCGTGGCGCAGTGTCTTGTTTCTGCGCCCTGCAGCGCAGTGGCGGTCATTTTTACGCCTTGCAGCAGCCCATTTTTGTGCCCTGTGGTGCGGTGGCACCCTGGTTTTGCGCCCCATGGTGCGGTGGCATCCATTTTTGTGCCTTGCAGTGCGGTAGCGGCCCGTTTTTGCACCCCATGGTGCGGCGGCGCCAGCCTCTTTTTGCACTCCGAGGCGCCGTGGTGGGGTCCCGTTTTCACACCCCGAGGCACAGTGGCGGCCCATTCCCGTGTCCCGAGGCACAGCGGTGGCCCGTTTTTGCACCCCGTGGCGCGGTGTCCTGTTTTTGTGCCCCGCGACCAAGTGAGGGAGTATGCGTACACATATTACTGGGCCGCGGCCCACAGGTTGGGGAGCCCTGGCTTAACAGATGTGCCAAGAAAGGCCGTAAAAACGGGACAAAAATTCACTTAACAAATGACGCACTTAGCAACAGAAATTGTGGCCGTAAGTCGAGAACTACCTGTAAGGGCGTGTGCGAGCGATTTTGGGAGGACAGGAAGAGATGCAGACGAGGCAACTGGCAAGTAAGAGGCAGCCGAGCCCACCGAAGGAAGAAGGACATGGGAAGAAGCGTTTCACAAAACACCCCCCCTAGTTTCCTGGACTGTAAAGGGGGGGGGGGAAAGAGACACACTTTTAGCTTGCAAGATTCGGCTAGTGTTACCTTTCCAGGGCTTTTCAACCTTTTCACCCATTGTATCACTTTTAGGATATGGCAACATCCGAGTACCACCAGTCGCCTAGCAAGGCGTCAAAAACCTGATGACCCCCCCCCAAAAAAGGAAAAAAGTGATGAAGTACTGGTAGTCCTCGACTTACAACAGTTTGCTTAGTGACTGTTCGAAGTTATGATGGCACTGAAAAAAGTGCCCCACAAGCCACAGCCGAGCAAGACACCTGCCTGCCCGCCCGGCCACGCTCTTCCTCCTGTCTGAGGTTTTCATTGTTGTGAGCATTTCTGTTGGGGATTGGCAGCAGAGGTGGGGTGGGGGGGTGTTTGGTTTTTATCCCCCCCCCCCCCCGTCTGCTGGGTGGTTGCAGCAGGTTTTGGTCCCTTCACATGACCCTGGGACACGGTGACTGTCATAAATATGAATCGGTTGCCAAGCATCTGAATGTAAATCACAAGACCCTGGAGAGGCTGCAACATTCCAGCTGATCGGCGCTTCTTCTGGGCTCAGCAGAAACACCAGGATCAGTGCTGCTTTCCAGCTGGAGCCTGGCGCTGATCCTGGGGCTTCCGCTGAGCCCTGACAGTCCCGAAGAAGCGCCAATCAGCTGGAAAGCGGCACTGATCCTGGCACTTCCGCTGAGCCCTGACAGCCCTGCAGCTCCAGCCGTCTCTCGCTCAGGCTTGTGCGGTGCTGCCACCGGTTCAGCTCATTCCCCTCCCCTGCTACCACTTTTCTAGGATGGTCGCGTACCACCTGCCATGTGCCCATGTACCACAGGTGGTACCCGTACCACTGGTTGAAAAGCCCTGCCTTACACAATAAAGTAGAATTTGCTTACCTGGGCGCCCTTCCCGACATCAGTCTTGCACGTCTGAAAGTATGTTTTTTCCCCCTGTCCCTTTTACAGCTGAAGAAACTAAGGAGGGTCCCTGCTTTGCCATGTCCACTTTCCTCCTGGGGGCTCGGCTGCCTCTTATCCGCCTGTTGCCTCGTCCGCAGCTCTTCCTCCTGTCTCCCAAGGCTACTTCCGCAGACCCTGACAGACCACCATTGCCAGCTTGTTTCACTTTCCTGTTTCTTCCCATTGCAGGAATCTCGGGAAGTCGGGTCTGCGAGTCTCTTGTCTTGGCCTCGGTGAGTTCCAGGCGTTGAGAAAACATGAGCTGGGTGGGCTTCGGTGGTGCAGAATACGTCTGAAGGGCGGGAAGCTCCCTCAATTTGGGGTGTGCTTGTGGCTTCATCTGTCACCAACCGGTTTCCTGGTCCACCACGGACATGTGTAAAAGGGTCTGTTCCCAGACTTCCGTGTTCAGGAGACTAGAAGGTAAATCAAGAGTCTCCAATCTTGACCACGTTTAAGACTTGTGGACTTCAACTCCCAAAATTCCCCTGATGAGAACGTGATGAGAATAATCAATCAATCAATCAAAAATAGTAATAAAGCAATCTCTCTAGGGAATCCTGCTTTGAAAGGGTCACTTTTAATCTCTTTTAATGAACAATTAAGAAGTGGAACGGCTTCCCACCAGAAGTTGTGAGTGTTCCAACACTGGAGATTTTCAAGAATAGAATAGAATAGAATAGAATAGAATAGAATAGAATAGAATAGAATAGAATAGAATAGTACAGTAGAATACAGAAAGAATAGAATAGAATAGAATAGAAATAAGGAATAGAATAGAATAAAATAGAATACAGAAAGAATAGAATAGAAATAAGAATAGAATAGAATAGAATTAAGGAACTAGAATAGAATAGAATGGAGTAGAGTAGAGTAGAGTAGAGTAGAATAATAAAATATAGAATAGAATAGAATAATAAAATACAGAATAGAATAGAATAGAAATTAGATTAGAATAGAAATTAGATTAGAATAGAACAGAATAGAAATTAGAATAAAATAGAAATTAGATTAGAATAGAATAGAAAATAAAATAGAAGAGAGAAGAGAATAGAATAGATTCTATTCTGCTCAATTCTATTCTATTCTATTACGTATTTTATTATTCTATTCAATATAATAAAATACGTAATAGAATAGAACAGAACAGAATAGAACTAAGAATAGAATATATAATAGAATAGAAAAAATAGAATAGAAAATAATAGAATAGAAATAATAGAATAGAAAATAGAATAGAATAGAAAAAAATAGAATCGAAAATAGAATGGAATGCAGAATAGACTGGATAGTCATTTGCTCAGAATGGGATAGGGTCTCCTGCTTGAACAGAGGTTGGACTAGAAGACCTCCCAGGTCCCTTCGAACCTTGTTATTCTGTTGTCTTTGGTTCTAGGCAGCTTAAGAGCAGCCTGGCAGATCCATAGACCAGGGGCAGGACCACTTGATACCCATTTCAAAAGTCTGTTTTCCCTTGTAGGTACCTGGGTGACATTTGGGTCCCAGATCTCAGATGAGGTAAGTCTCAAACTATGCCCATTTCACGACTGTAGAGCAGAGCTCTTCCAACCTGGCCCTTTGACGACTTGTGGACTTCAACTCCCAGAATTCCTCAGTCGGCACGCCTGGCTGAGGAATTCTGGGAGTTGAAGTCCACCAGGAGGGGTCTTCAAACTCGGCTCTTTTATGACTTGTGGACTTCAACTCCCAGAATTCCTCAGCCGGCGTGCCTGGCTGAGGAATTCTGGGAGTTGAAGTCCACAAGCAGGGCTCTTCAAACTCGGCTGTTTTATGACTTGTGGACTTCAACTCCCATAATTCCTCAGTCGGCGTGCCTGGCTGAGGAATTCTGGGAGTTGAAGTCCACAAGCAGGGGTCTTCAAACTCGGCTCTTTTATGACTTGTGGACTTCAACTCCCAGAATTCCTCAGTCAGTGTGCCCGGCTGAGGAATTCTGGGAGTTGAAGTCCACCAGGAGGGGTCTTCAAACTTGCCTCTTTTATGACTTGTGGACTTCAACTCCCAGAATTCCTCAGCCGGCGTGCCTGGCTGAGGAATTCTGGGAGTTGAAGTCCACAAGCAGGGGTCTTCAAACTCGGCTCTTTTATGACTTGTGGACTTCATCTCCCAGAATTCCTCAGCCGGCGTGGAATTCTGGGAGTTGAAGTCCACAAGTCATCAAAGGGCCAAGTTGGAAGACCCTTGGCTTAGATTGACCCCAGCTTCCTTTCCAAGTGTCAACATTGAAAAGTCACCCCCTCCCTAGCACGTCCACACAAACACACACACACACACACACACACACAAAACTGCGTGTCCCTAAAAGCCAAAATAGTGGCAGAGGTTCCTAAGTCTTTCCCCCTCCCCTTCCGAATAGTTAACAGGCCCCGCTTAAGTGGTTGGGGGCACATTTTTCTATCTCTGCTCAAGGGAACTTTGGGGTGGGGTGGGGTGGGGGGCAGCGAAGCCTCTCAAATTAAAAAAAAAGACCCCTCCCCTTTTCTCGAAAACAACCCCCCCACACACCCCTTTTTTCTCTCTCTGCTTCTAGGTGGCGGAGAGCGTGCTCACCATCGCTTACGAAAACGGGGTCAACCTCTTTGACACGGCCGAAGTCTACGCCTCTGGCAAGTGAGTTGGGCTGTTGCACCCTGGAAGTGGGGGGGGGAGAGAGAGAAAAGGGGGGGGATAGGATCCAGAGCGGGATCTGCCTCGCCTGGGCCGGGAAGAAATTCAACAGGCGGAGAGTCTCTCCCTTTGGCGTTTTTGAATGGGGAGATTAGCTGGCATCTGCGCCGTGAAGGGAGTAAGACTTGGCTTGCTTCTCGTCCAGCAAGCTTTGTCCGGCGTGGAAGAGGGTCTCCTGCCTTGAGCAGGGGGGTTGGACTAGAGGACCTCTGAGGTTGCTTCCGGCACTGGGCGTCTGTGTTGTACGTTCTCTGCTGATCCAGAGGGAGAAAAGGAATATTTTTCCGTTGCAAAAGGATCTGAATTGTCTAGGCACTGCCCTGCCGTTGCTCAGCTCCCTTTACTCTAGTTGATGATAATGATGATTGATGATGATGATGATGATGATGATGATGATGATGATGATGATGATAATAATAATAATAATAATAATAATAATAATAATAATAATAATAATAATAATAATAATAATGTTGGAAGGGATCTTGGAGGTCATCTAGTCTGTTTTCTTCTTCTTCGTCATCATCATCATCATAATAATAATAATGTTGGAAGGGACCTTGGAGGTCATCTAGTCCAACCCCCTGCTCAGGCAGGAAACCCTATACCAATGTCTTCTGGAGGAGGAGGAGGGGGGGAGGAGGAACAGAATAACAGAGTTGGAAGGGACCTTGGAGGTCATCTAGTCCAACCCCCTGCTCAGGGAGGAAACCCTATATACCATTTCAAACAAATGGCTGTCCAGTCTCTTCTTAAAAACTTCCAGTGTTGGAGAAGGGAAGGAAGGAAGGAAGGAAGAATAACAGATGGAAGAGACCTTGGAGGTCATCTAGTCCAACCCCCTGCTCAGGCAGGAAACCTTATACCAATGTCTTCTGGAGGAGGAGGAGGAGGAGGAGGAGGAGGAGGAGGAGAAGAATAAAGTTGGAAGGGACCTTGGAGGTCACCTAGTCCAACCCCCTGCCCAGGCAGGAAACCCTACACCATTTCGGACAAATGGCAGTCCAGTCTCTTTTTCAAAACTTCCAGCGTTGGAGCATTCACAGCTTCTGGTGGCAGGTTGTTCCACTGGTTAATTGTTCTCACTGTTAGGAAAGTTCTGACAGTTGAGGTGTCACAGCCCCACAAGGCGTTCTGAGCACCACCCAGCCCTAAACTAATCTGACTTGTCCTTCTGTCCCTCCCTTCCCAACTCCCCCCCCCCAAGCATATAAATTTAATAATCAAAATAAAAACATTAAAACCTTTCAACTCCCTGTAGCTATTCTGCAGGTTAGGGGAGATCTATCAAATACCCACCCACCCCCATTTCACAAGCTGTCCAGTTCCGCAGGTACTGTGCATGGAGGGGGAAAAAGTGCTTTTGCCATGCTCAGGAACCCTCTTGTATACTGTGCACGGAGGGAAAAAATGCTTTTTCCATCCTCAGAAGCTTTCTTGTGTACTTATGCACAGAGGGGGGGAAAGTGCTTTTTCCATGCTCTTGGGCAATTTGCAGGGGGGAAAAGGGTGCTTTTTCCATGCTCAGGAACCCTCTTGTATACTGCGCACGGAGAAAAAAAGTGCTCTTGCCATGCTCAGAAGCCCTCTTCTCTTTAAGGGCCCTGTTCTAGGCCAGATGCTTTGGCAGTGATGGAGCCATCCTTCTTTCCAGAGATTGTCCTGGTTTTTTTCCCCCTTAGCGTGTCACTTCGTAAGCCAAG